CTGCTGATTGTTTCCTTCCTTTAGAAGCTTGCATGGCACCTCATGAGAGCTAGTCCTCACAGAGAATGCTTTCAGGTCAGAGTAAGCTCAGGGACAACTAAAGAATGCTGAGAGCAGAAAAAGTAGTCTTCCCTGGGAAAAAGTACAATTGCAATCCAATATCAAATAGTCAGCCCTGAAAACACACACACATACATGTAACATTATACAAATTGAGGCGGTTGTATTTATATATTTAGGAATATACTATATTTTGGAAGATATATAATATGTAATATATAATTAACACACACACACACACACACACACACACACACACGTGTATACTTTGACTTTGAAAAGGAGCAAGGGAATACATGGAAGGATTTTTGAGGACAAAGGGGGATAAGTGATGCAATTATAGTATAATATCAAAAACATTTTAAAATATATATAGAGAGAGCTACATCTAACTTCTTGGTGGGAACATCCCCCCATGGATTTTAATTAAAATGCCACAGTTCCAGATACCTGATTTAGATCAGTAGGCAATTGTACAAAGTAAAATGGAAGAATCATATTCTATGGTATGAGTGCGTTATCTTCACTTAATCCCATGCACCTTTGTTGGGTCCTTTGAAAACTCTCAAGCCCTACACGTGTTGACTGGACTTTGACAAAGATATCAGGTCTAAGAACCAGAGAACATCTTGTTTTCAACGTTGTAGCACCTTTGTCTTTTATTTTGTATCTTCAAAATTCAGCAGACTATGTTAAAGGTTAGCTATGTCAGAGACTGAATGAATAAATCCCTGGTGTCCTACTGGGTCTACAGTCAGCTAAGAGAACATCTTGGCCACATATGCTCAAGGAGTTCTAGTTCAGACACCAGGAACCCTTCATAATACACAATGATGAAGAGAAAATTTTGCTATTAACTTGAAGATTGTGAAGTTTGGTTGTTCGGGATTCAATTTAAAAGGAAGATAATGATTGCACAATTTAATTCCTTTGAACCTCAACTTGTTTTGATTTAGTTTAACATGCAAGATAATTTATTTTTGAAGTTCAGTTTCTCTCTAAAGAATTTTGAAGGAAAAGGTGCTGTGTTCAAATGTGGGGTTTCTCTGCATTATAATTCTATTGTTACTAAAATATACTTGCATTCTATTATTGGATACTGAATGTGGTAGTTATTTTTACTGCAAAATCTCTGTTATGTTAAATGATATAACAGGCATAGTTGATATTGTAAAAAGAATGGAGAGTTATTTTCCAAATCTGGAAACAAAGTAATCTTGGAATTGATTTAATTAGCAATTTTCATCCATTTTGCAAGTTGAAAGTCCAATAGTATAATACCAGCATATGGTGAAGACTCTGGAATACTTTGCCTTGTTACATTGATAGTAATGGTGGGTGTGCATCTAGAAACAAGTTAATATATCTCAAATCAAAAACTGAGAGAGATTTGCACTACCTGAAAGCATGCCCCCAGAGGCTCATGGGTATTTGGGTATTCCACTAGGCCTATCTATCCAACACTGCCTCTCAGGATATCAGGTTGCCTACACATGGAACTTGGATAGGACAAAAGCCATGGTACTACATTGGTAGACAGCAGGCCCCATTTTAGTTTAAAGTCACAACTTTCATAATATGGGAATGGTTTTATATGATGGGATTCAGTACAGGGGGTGTATTTGGTGTAGTCTTTTTTTATAACTTAAATATTCATTTAATATGAATATTTAGTAGTAGTAGTAATTTCTGCTTCATTTCATCCCTCACTTCTCAATATTAGTTGTCCAGTTTCTGGGAATTTTGAATAAAATTGTTCAATGGGAAATCCAAAGCTCTCTTTGTCATTCCTTCATGTTTGATGCTAACTCTGGAAGGATGTGTGTCATTCTGCTCTGCCTGTCCATGTTGGAAATTTGAAGAGAAAGCTTACACAGCACAAGACCAGTGTAGTTCAGTGTCACATGTTCACAATCTCACACTAGTACATTATTTTTTAAGACACTTGTCCATAGATGTATGTTCTCTAATATTAATTTTCTCTACAACAGAGTTCTGGAAAGTCATCTGGCCTTTTGAAAGACCTTCGTTCTTAACTAGCCTGAATTTGAAGGAAGAAATAAAATTAAATAATTGTTCCCCAAATGATAAAGGACAGTTAGGTACTTTTGGTTATAAAAGGAAAATGGAGACATTTGTTACTTCTCAGAGCATGTCATGTAGTGTAGTGGAAAAGAAAAAGAATGTCACTCATATGATTGCTAGAGTCTAAAAATACATTTTCACAAGGAAATACAAATGGTCTCAATTTGAGGGGATGAATGACTGGGAATACCCTAAGTGACTGATTAAAATGATGTGGAAATTGTTCAGCCGTGCTTCAGGGATCTTTAACTCTTTCTTGTAGCCCTGGGACTATTCTGGCTTCATTAGCTGCTATAGCTGCATGAGATCCATCCCACTTTGTCACAGAATGTCTGCTTTTTGCATTTCCACACACTGCAACGTGGGCTTTTACATCCACCTCTGTATCATGCTGAGCACTTAAGGCTCAGAAAGCAGAAGAAAATCCAACTTGCCAGGAAGTATATTGGGGTTAATCAGGCCCAAACAAATGGATCGATTTCCCTCCACAGTTGTAGCAATTCCATAGGATATGGAAATGAATGAATACACTAGACATACTTGGTTTTCCATTTTGGAAAATTTCTCCTAAGAGAGAAGGTTGTAGGGACTATGGCACCTGTCTTCAAGTCTTTTTGAAGACGTTTGTAGAGAGGGTCCTGAAGGCAATGGGAGAATGAATGGGTGGAAATTACAAGTGGGAATATGTTGGTTTAACTTTATAATAGCAATTACAGCCATTCTGTGTTGGTAAACAATAAGCTGGGCTTCCCCATGGTGCTGACAATCAGATGATTCCCCTTCAGGCTGAAGACTCACACCACACCCAGCTGAAACTTCAGGAACTTAGGTTTCTGTGAGCGTATTTTTCCCATAAGAAGACACAGACACTTTGCATTCAATTTTTCAAAAGAGAAAAATTTAATATATTTTATCTTATTATACATTTCCCCTAAATTACAAAGTCGACAGCTGCAAATATATTCTGCTACAAAGCTTTCTGTAAGAAACATCTCTATAAGAAAATACATCTCATTAACATTTCCTGTAAATAAATTATTTCAAATAATAATTCTTGAGAAGGTGAATATAAGGGAAAATATGTGGAAACTCGATTGTAAGTGTTATTCCTATGTAGGAAATTCTGACCAAAAGGTTCCATTTTCACATTCCAAGCTCATACAACAAATTTTGGCTTTTGGATGAATTAGCTTATAAGTTTTTGCTCTAGCATACACACATGGAGCATAAACCATCATCGTCCTGGCAAAATGTGTGTTGGATGCTGAACCTCTTCAGGGGCTGTACTTAGAGATTGCACATGGGACTTCAGTAAAACAAGAAACTGATGTAGGGTAGCCATTTTTGTAGTTTATGCTCTAGACATAGTATTTAGAACTTTACTAAATCAGAAAGTAGTAAAGATTTTTAAGAGAATATCTATAGATTAGAGAGATGTGAATTTCACTTGTTAATTGCTTTTTAACTCAATGGTTGTAGAAAATAGAAACTTGGTCTTTGGCAACAAAATTACATTGAGTGGCTAGTACAGAAATTTCTGAAGGAATCATCGGTCCATAGCTTAGGGAAGACATTGGTTCCTATTGTACCACCTGGCTTCAGAGAACCCATATCAGAGAACAACTCATATTAAATTATTTTAGAACCTCAAAACGATGAAATAAGTTGAGGTTAGGAAGGGCAAATTGCATTGCACTAAGCTCATCTACATGATAATATCATGAGGAGAACCAACCCTATGGAGAACTTCAGGTTCATTTATGGGGATTCTGGTGTCAGTCATAAAATTTCAGCCTGTGCTTCAGACATTTGATCTTAAAGCCTGGACAAATGAGGAGGTGTCCTCTACTTCCCTGTTGTGCTCCACTCAGTACAGATATCACTCAACTCTCTAATGTCAGCCTCACCCTACTGCTCTCCAGCTATGCAAAGATAAATGTATTTAGCAGTCTAGTTTGCCATGCAGGGTATGTCAAAGCTTTGGAAAAACAGTGCTTCCTCCGTTATTCAGTTCCCACATGTGATGGCCATCTTTAATGTTTTAGCAATCTGTGAAAATTCTGCCCTGTGTTTGTATTACACAATTAATAGCTCTAGCTTAGATAGGCATCACTTTGAAATACAGATAACCATTCCATCACAATGCAGAATCTGTTTTTGTCCTACATCTGTCTTTTCTAATACAGGTGAAATTAAGTTTTTGAGAAAAGAAATGAGTTGTGTAAGAAGACACATGTTTATATTTTTCTAAGGTCTAAAAGACGTGCTGGTATCTGGAAGTGATATGGAAAATATTGATAACATTTTTTTTTCTTGTCTACTAAGGCCTTTATTTGAAAAGTCAAAGCAGAGCTCCAAATTAAAAGGTGATTTTTTTGTGATGCAAATTAATGATGTTACATATTTTCGCTTCCTGTTTGTCATCTTTCCATGTTTTAGAAATTATGTCAAGGGACAGTGAGAATAATTTATTAAACTATAACTCTGGGTAGAAACATGGATTTAGCTTATTTTTATAGCCATTGCCAATCTGAAGGAAATGTCCCCTTTAGCTCAAGCCAAACTCTTGGAAAAATCGCATGGTATTTGTCAGTAATTTCCACGGTGTGCTTTCATTTAACAATAGCATTTTCACAAATGTGTACATTATTTACATAAACAAGTTGCATAATGGAAACACTTGTTGTGCTTTGGTTGTCACTGTCTCTACTTCATTCAGTCCCACTTCTCTCTTGTGCTCCAAATTCTTACCACATTCCTTGTTCTCCTGCATTCCAAGCTGGATTTTCCATCATGCCATAATGCATTAAATACACAAATTCACAGTCTGCTAGTGATAACTCTCCCAGTGTTTGTCAGATCTTCTGGCACACGTGGAGTCTGGCTTTGGAGGAGTAGGTAGCATCTTTCCACACTTTGCAAGACAGGCCCTTTGCACAGTCACACCTCTGGAAAATCTCCAGCCCATGAGAACCTTTCTTGCGTTGTTTGGTACAGACTTCCCCCTGATGCAGTACTGGTTTGCAGATTTTGGTCCAGAAGTGGCGAGCACAGCAAAATCCATCAATGCAGTCTGATGATCGCAGACAGGGGTCTCCTTCATGTCCTACAGAAAACATGAACCAAAAGGAGTACAAGGGTGCTTGAGAGCGATTTCTACTTTACAGTCAGAATCACAGACAATGCTTTCACTTATCCACCTTGCATTGTGTTGCCACTTTTAATGAAAAGTCTTAGATTCATACTAATTTGTTATCACTTTAATTCTCATAAGTCTGCTTTTCTCTCATTCCATTATCTACCATGTGAATATGGCACTTAATGGACCACTAGACTGTGTTCATCTTCAATCTGTCATAGTCTACTTTTGTCTATTTCTCTGTGTTAATGTGTGTAGTGTACACATATGCATGCTTTTTGCTTGTGTGTGAGTGCATGTGTGTGGGGGGGGGTTGTGCAAGCACATGTGTACATGTGAATGGAAGGAAGGAAGGTGATGCTGAAAATTATCTTCCATTACTCTCCCACCTTATTCTTCTAGCCAAGATCTCTCAAACAAACCTAGAGCTAGCTGATATGGTTAGATTTGCTAGCCAGCTTGTTCTGGTGATCTCCTGTTTCAGTTTTATGAGACTGGAATCACAGACAAACTACCATGTCCCATCCAGTGCTTATAGGGGTTCTGGGGATTGGAACTCCTGACCTCATGTTTGCATGGCAAGTAATTTAACTATGGAGTCAGCTCTGTAATCTAGAGTCTAACTTCAGTATTTTCCTGATGATTCCCCCCCCATTGGGTGAGTTATGGGGGGAAAGATTGGGTTCAAACTAATTAACTTGATGTCTTTTCAACAGGTGTAAACAAAGGTATGACTCAAGAGCACTGAAATGTTCAGGGTCTTTTGACATTGTTTATCAGTAGAGTCCAGGTGTGAAAGCAGAATTATTAGTACAGGTTATTTAATGTGGAGAATTGGTCACATGTGTGATGGTTGAACTAAGAATTGTAAGAGATGGATCAGCTGCTGGAATTTACTACCACATTTAGGATGAGAGACCCCCATGGAGTAGGTGATGTCAGCATCCAGGGATTATATTCCCTAGGCAGAACCTAATTGTCCCACCTGGAAGCAACAGGAGATTGGAGGAAACACAGACATACCAGAATACCGAGAGCAGTAAATGGTTTAAACCCAGGCAAATGCATCTGACAAGGACTGCCAGGGAAAACACCCTACCAGAAGCTGTGAGACAGAAAAGAGCAGAGAGACGACAGCCAGCTGAAGCTCACAAACTTACTTAAAAACATGTGAGATAACAAATCTGGTGGTGTGTGCACACACCAAAAGATTAAGTCACCAAATAGCACTCTCCCACACACATCTTGGCTTCATTGATTTGTGCTTCAGTATATGGCAGAGTTTTCCAAACTTTCCTGTTAGTTGCCCGACTGCAAATACAATAAGACTTAGAGACTAAATGATCTGTTACAGCTCCTCAGTTTTGTTGTATTGCAAAGCTCAGCCATAGAAAAGACCTATATGGATGAGGAACCATTATTTAGAAAATCTGGTGATGCAGATTTGGTTCAAAGTACATCGGGTGGCCACCTGTGGTCTCAAAAATTCTCTAGCATCCTAGATGTAACTACTTCTACAACAAAATTTTGATGCAATGCACTAGCCATGCAATACAATATTTCTTTCTGTTTGCACTCAGTATATTTCATATGTAGTTGTATTGAAATGATTGGTGGATTTTTCAATAGTTCTGTGACTTAGATTCCTATTGGAATGAGGAAAGACACACATAATGGCAATTATACAGTAATTTGATGAAACAGAAATAAGAGGCATGGGAAATAATTCAGGGTCTTGGTAGGTACAGCAAAATGATAAGAGAAATTATTTGCCAACATCTTTAGCATTATATAGATGACTACTAGCAGTCCAAGTACACCAATGGGTCAGAACTTCTCCAAGAGACTGGCTCTTTAGAAGATGAAAACATGAGGAAATAGTTTTGTGATGAGATAAGCTATGGAAATAACATGTTTAGAAAAGGAAACTAGTTTTTCATCATGACTTATCAGATCACTGTAGTTCATCAGCAATTCCCAGGAACAGGGAGATGTTCTATCACAAAATTCTTTAGAACACAGGGCACTTTTAAACACATACATCTTGAAAAAGAAATCCTTCACAGATACACATGGGTAAAGCTTCCTTTGAGTGTAACTGTTTCATGCCCTCAAAATTTTATTATTAGTAAAATTATTTCCCACTCTTCAAGTTTTTTATTGGTGAGTAGGAGGAAGAAGAGGACTTTATAATGATGCATCGCGCCATTATAAACCAACTGTTTCTCATAGATTGGCTATGGATAATTTGTCATCTGCTTGCTTAGTGAAATCAACTTCCTGAATCTTCAAAGGTGAAAAAAATGGCCATGAATTTAATCTCCAGCAGCAATATTTCTTCATGCATTTCCCATAGTGCTATATTCTCTGATAGGTTTGAACCATACAAGTTTGTTTAGAAGGTTTCTTTGCAATTTTCTTATAAAAGGAGGCATGCTTAGAATATGCCATGGAAGGTCCAGCTATTGCCTTTCTCATAAGATATTCCTTCCAACAATTCTATGAAATCTCTAGTATTTTCAAAATTAAAAATCAATAAACTCAATTTAAAATTTCCCATTAATGAACATTTTGGTGATGGACTCATAGAATCATAATGAATTATCTATGTATGTGTGGTTGTTAGAAAGAAAATGACCTCTAAAGGGAATGGCACTATTAGGGGGTGTGGCCTTGTTGAAGTAGGTGTAAGTCCTGATGGAGGAAGTGCTTCACTATGGGGGCGGGCTTTGAGGTCTCATACATGCTCAAGACACTGCACAGTGTCAGATCACTACCTGTTGCCTATGAATCAAGATGTAAGAACTCTCAGCTCCTTCTCTAGCACCGTATCTGCCTGCATGATGCCTTGCTTTCCATCATGATGATAATGGACTAAACCTCTGAGTTGTAAGTGAACCACCACAATTAAATGTTTTCCTTTATAAGAGTTGCTGCGGTCATGGTGTCTCTTCACAGCAATTGAAACCATAAGACACAATGGTTTCTTTTACTTCTTTATGAAAGAAGAAAGAATAAGCAAACATGGTAGTATACGCAGACCTACCTTTTATATGAGACATCTTGGTGTGAGGCCTTCCTAGATTCTGCCATCCCAGGTCATGGTTGGAATAGTGACCATGGTTCCGATCTCTATGCCGAGTGCCATCAAGAGCTGGAATATGAGGGGTCAGGATGCTCTCCGTGACTGGGATGCAGATGCCTGGAAATGAGTATGTAAACAGATCACTGTAACTCTATAACTTGTGATGTCCATCCAGATCTGTGTTAGGAAGACATTTATGTGTCTACTTCTTAATCTACCTATTATGTATCTATCTTTCTATCTGTTAGTTCATACATTCATTCACTTACTAATAATAGAATATTTTGGCTCTGAAACCAAGCTTCCTAGATAATGAATTTTTCCTTTTAAATATCAAACAACATTGTGTAAACAACAACAAATGAGGAATAAAACTGAATTAATTTTATCAAATTATTGTAAATATATACAAAATACTTAGAATAGCAACATGGTGAAGAATTAAATCAGTGCCCACTGTTTCTTTTTTTAAAAAGTCATCTTCTCAGATATCTGCCCAAGGTCCTTTTTGTTTATGAGCAAAACCATTTTGGTCAAGCTTCTCAAATGGTGTGAGGTCCCCCCCTCCCCCATTCAGTTCCTCTCTACACTACTCATAGCTGGTTTTTACCTAGAGGCCAGAACAGGCATGACAATATGAACCTCATTGTGTCATGTTTTTATGACTAAACTTATGCTTCTGCAACTGCTTAATCATGTGTTGTTTGTGATTGTTTTCAGTACATTATTTATTAATGCTGAATAAACGTCTGCCTATCAATTCATTAGGCTTGAGTGAGGCCAGGCTACAGGTTACAGTCCTTTGTACTTGGTAGACCAGTTACCCCCTCACCTAGTCAGGCTGCCCTAGGAAATCTTTAATATAATAGCTATAATATAAAACTCTTGTGAACATGGTCAAGGAACTCATAACTACACTACTTGTCTTGATATTTATATGTTTAACAAACATTTAGCGATTTTGCACACAACACTTCAATTTTGCAAGAAGCAGTACCTTTCCACAAAGGCTTATGAGAAAGAGTACTTTTAACACTTGAGAACTCTTACCATTATTGCATCGGGTACCAGGGCAACACATGCCATCTCTATGGCATCGCTTCTTTTTCCTCCGACACACCATGCAGGCTGATGATCCTTGGTGGGGACTGTGACAGTATCTTCCAACTTCGCATTCCTTATCACTGCTGCAAGGGTAGGCCTGTCATCAAATAGGACAGCATAGAAAGCAATGGGTGAGGTATTTGGACACTGAGAAAGCACTGAGGCAGCAAACCTTCAGGTAAACTAAGTCATATTCACGGTGCTTGAATACACCATTGTGTGGTGTTCTGCACACTGGTTCTCCAGGATGACCCTTAGCTGATGACTTGGTAAGTATTGGCTTTTGGTGGTGACAAAGATGAAACTGACAATAAACTTTAAAGTGAAAAAGCATGGTGAATTACTCATGCATTTCCCTTGGCCGCCTTTGGATTTATGATTTATACTTCATACTGATAGACACCTGCTGCAAGTGACTATGGAGACTCAGAGAAAGGTAACTGTTGCATTTCCTCTAATTGCAGAACACACAAGCAGCCGCACCACTCCATTGCCAACTGCCACTGAAAGATGGAGGAAGAGTAAAGCAGGAAAACGATTGTGCTAGAAGTTAAAGCATGTTATCTGCCCAATCCGAGAGGAAACACTTATAAGAAAAACTCACAATCCTTGCCTGTTAAGGTAAGGAGAAACTCTTCCAGAATGACTTGAGAAACTACCTGATGTGCACACAATACACAAAACAACAATGCTCCCAAACAAAACAAAGGACCTTGCCCTCATTCCTACTTCCTCCACAGAGCAACAGCAGTGTCTGCACAACCAGAAGGATGCTGGACTTCAGTTATCCAGAGTTCTCACGAAGCCCAACAAGTCTCTCCTCACATGATCTCCTCCCAGCAACTGTAGCAACCATGCTTTCATTTTGTTCAGGAAAGACTGGTTATTAATGCATTTCTCCACCAGCAATAAGTCCTGAAAACTTCTTGAGCTGTATGTGATAGTAACTTAAAATATACAAGTAAAATATTGTTCCAGTTACTAACCTTGGCTTTTGGACGTTCTTGGAGCATTTAACATGTACATGTTCAGAGACTGAGATGTCACACAGGACACTTAGACTTAGAGCATTGAGATAGGTTTTTTGTTTTGAAACAAGGTTTAAATATGTTTGCTGGAACTCACCATGGGTCAGATTGGTCTTGAAGTTTAACGATGTGACAATTCTCTGGCCTCTGTCTTTAAGTAGTGATAGTATGAGCAAGCATTACCAGGCCTAGCCTCCATTTATTTTATTTTATTTTATTTGATGATGATTTTTAGAGAGATGCATTAATTTTTAGCTACAAATGCAAATCATATTTTTGAGAGCTTTAATTTTTGCTTTGAAGTGTGCATAAATGATAGAAGGATGAAACTGTGGATAAAATGTTGTCTCTCTAAAATAATTATTTTTGGTTTGTGTATTTCCATTATGAAATCCTACTTGATGTCCTGACCCCACACATTGCTTATTGCTTATTTCCTTTCTCCTCCTCCTCCTCCTCCTCCCCCTCCCCCTCTTCGTCCTCCCCCTCCTCTTCTTCTTTTTCTTTTTCCTTAT